TTTCACGCAAATTAATTTAAACAATATAAGGTTGGACAACAGGCACTGCCTGTATAAGTCCTCTCCATAATACAAGGTCAATGTCATACATTTACAAGTAAATATTAGTTACATATCATTGAAAAAATAAATATATACATGTGTATATTCAAAAGAAATCTATAAAAATAAGATAAAATAAATGGTAGAAAATTAATTATAAGTGAGCTGATGATACAATATGTTTGCAGTTTAACATATATGACTAAAAAAAATAATACATGTATAAATGTGAAAGTTAATAAGAACACATTAATAGATGCTGGTTCTGTAGTTTGACAATTTAAAAAAAAAAAGAAGAGAAACAATATCATGCAAATCTCTTTGTAGATGTAATAAATTCATGAACAAGTTTAAATACTGCAATGTTTTGGTTGTAAGTAAGGTTACTGTCTCCATTCAAAATAAGTTGCAAGGATAAAGCCATTAGTAATTGCGAAGTATTAAAGTTTTACATGCAGATTACAAATATGCTAACAAAAAAGGGATAAAATGATGTATGGGTACTAGAAAATCTAAAATTTCTTCTAAATTCATGAAAAGGAAATTATACTTACTGAGCAGAAGTTGATAATCTAGCCTTAATCCTTGTGCATGGCGTGTAAAACACATAATATGTGAACAGCAAGAAGACGCGCACTTCTTGTCCATCAGTTGAATTCAAATTTTGACCTAGATAAGCTGCAAACAACTTCTCTGTATCGCTGTCCAGCAAGAAAATTGCATAACAAGGTTATCATGACACTGAAACTGACTAGCTAAGCTAGAACCACTCCTTATCTGATACCTTCGCAGCACAGTTAAGGTGCCAAATAAAAATATCGGCGAATTTTTAGATAGAAAATACATTCTTTACAAGGATGGGCGTTTCTTTTTAGGACTTTACTATTATCGGACAAATGCAATGTGGTTGAAAACTAAATGTTGAGGACGATTAGATTTCTTATTAAGACTTGTCACATGATATGGCAGTCACTTGATTTTAGCAAATATACCTGAAGTATTGAGGTCATCTATAAATTCTAATATTGCAAGGGCATAACCAAGTTAAAAATCTGAATTTAACATATAATTATTTTCAACACTCTTTGTAGTTTGTGAAAAGTGCTGCGAACCTATATAGATTCTACTATCTAATTGCTAAAATTACATTTTCTAGACCGTATGTTGAATATTTTGCTGGTCAAATACATTAAATATAGATATATATAGGATCTCCCATGATTTGTAGTTGGATATGATTTTTATCCAACGAGTTGTGTGTTTTTTATCCCCAAGCCTTGGCGAGGGGATAAAAACACACAACGAGTTGGATAAAAGTCATATCCAACTACAAATCATGGGAGATTCTTTTTATCCCATGTTTAATACTTCACAACCAATGTTTTACACTGTTTTATATAGGACTCCACTTTATTTTACTTCATCGCGCTAACGCAAAAACCACTGTGACGTCACAACTGTGGATTATGAAAAATTTATTCAATGAGTCATATCCACGGGATAAAGGGGTAAACATGGGATAAAAATAATTCATTTGCAAGATTTCAACAGGTTCGCAGCACTTTCATATATCTTCATACTTCTTGAGTTTATGTGTAAAAGCTTGTCATAATTCATTGAGGGCATGCCCTTGCAATATATCGATTTATTACGACCCTTCTATTACCCTTCAATGAATCTGCATACAAATATACGGCAGTATCGCTTGTCTAGGGAATGTACGGGAAGTAAATGAATAAAATCATAAAACAGACATCGCATCCAAGTTAATGGCCTCTTATATATCTACAATTTATATTTTATTTAATTACAAAATACATTTTTCATTGTAGAAATATAACTTGATCCGCCTCTCACTGCATACAAACTGCGTCAAATTTTCCGATATGACGTCACATTGACAAGTGCATTGCGATCAGTGAATTGTTTATATATTGCTGTGTGGGATTTAACCAACGACAATAATGCATGCACTAGTTAGTATTGATGTAGTTTAAAGCTATTCATAAGTTTAAAATAACAAATCATTTCATTTTGTGGTACTTTGATGAACTTGTATTATTGTGTGATGTCATAGTAAGCATTTCCCGTATAAATTAGGCCCCGCCTCCTTACTGCAACCTTAACTGTGCTGCGTTGAAGATAAATTTGTGGAGTGAATCTAAGTAATGTAAACTGACCGGGGTTAATTGTTAGTGTGAAAACTGTTAAACCTTTTTGTAACGTGTTTATTCTAATGTTTTTATATTTTGTGATAAGAAAGATTAAAGTAATATATCTAATACAGTTTACTTTTTTTCCTTTCATATAAATGCAACAAAAGCACAATCTAATTAAAATCAGACTTCTTAGTTCCGCTCCGTATACATTCTGCGCGGAGTATACGGCGCGGATTTAAGAAGTCTAATTTTAATTAGATTACATTAATTTGGAGTAAATTGTTATTTTTATTAATTCTATAATAACATGGAATTACAGTGAAGTATTGGATAAAGATGTCATTATTTATAAAAAGCTTATCTTTAGCACAAAAAAAGTTTCTCTTTTTCATTTATGCATAAACACTGCATTCAGAATTAATTTACAAATTAACTTTTTTGAAACATGCAATTACAGTGGAGAGTTGAATATAGATGTCATACTTCATATTAACTCATATCAAACATTTTTTTACAGTACTGTAAGCACAATTCTTTTGAATGAAATCTAAATAAATAAATTCATAATACATTTCATTTATTGTGAATAATCATAATATTTTCTAACAATGCATATATATATATAGCAAAAATTTACACTGATTTAGCGTTCGATAACCCTTACTATTTTGACCTTGAAAAATAAGGCGCTCATTACCCGTTGTTTCAACATTAAATTTTCCTCACTTTTTCAACGTTGAAAATATGTTGCATCCTCGATGTTGTTTCAACGTAAAAATATTAACGTTTCAAACATAAAATAACAGAAAATATTTAACGTTGAAAATATGTTGACTCTTCAACGTTGTTTCAACGTTGAAATATTGACGAACATTCAACGTTGAAAATATGTTGCATCTTCAACTTTATTTCAACGTTGTCAATAGGTTGATGATTCAACGTTGAAACCTCAACGGTGAAACAACGTTGAACTATAGTTGTTCAACGTAGCAACCTATATTCCACCTACTTTCCACGTTGATACAACGTTGCGTGCCTGCTGGGTGTCTTTTTTTTTAACCCGGTGAACAGGGTGAGCAGTGGTCATTTTAAGAAATATGTTTATACTACAAGCTAATTACCCGTGAAAATAACCTGTGCCTTCAATATCGTCCGATAGTTTGAAAGACAGTCGGTCTCTTTTAAATTATTTCTCCAAGAAAGAAAGGCCAGTTGTTTTATCTAACAATGAATCCTTAGCACGACAGATTTTTAATAAAGAACTTACTCTCGTGTATAATGAAACCCCGGCGAAAGAAAGGAGATTGCATGTATATGCGTAATTCATTGTATTCACATACGTAACTTATAAACTGTTATGAAACGTTAAGTGCTTTTTATTTTTAGCGCCAATGATAATTCGCAAAATTTTAAAACGTAAAAATTAATCAACACCTTTTTAACCCAGATTCGCAAAAATAAATCGACGTAAAAATTTCCAGATTTACGGTAATCCTAATCACATATGAACATTTAAATTTAAATCAAAAAAATCTCATATTTCAACTCAGAAGACTGTCTATTTTGAAAATACACTAATATTTAGTAGGTTATATACTTGTATACATGTATATACATATATCTATTTACAAAATCCATACAAATGACTTCGGTAACATTTAAATATATGAAGTATCTAAATAACTGGGAAGAAGACAAAATCACAATATTATATTTATATTATTAACGATGACAAGTTGTATCAACTGTGAACATTCTCGGAGTAGTCATAAAAATTGTCAAGATTTCAAGACTATAAAATGTATGGATCAATCAATATAGGTTAACAATGCTCGTACACAACTTTATAAAATGTTATATCTTTCAACAGCGGAATAGCACAATGTCAATACATCTGGTTTTAATTGCACTTTTAAAGTATGTTTGTTTGTTTGTATGTTTTTTAACGTCCCTCTCGAGAATTTTTCACTCATATGGAGAAACTTTCACTCACATGCCGGTGGAGAGCTGCAAATTTTGTCCTATGCTCGACACTTACGGTCATTGAGTAGTGAGGATCTTTTTCGTGCCAGCACCTGCTGCGACACGGGACCTCGGTCTTATCCGAAGGACTGGACCATTCTCAAGTAATATAGTAATAGTCAGAAAAAAAGGACAACAAATTAAGAATGTGTGTAGATTATAGGCAACTGAACCAAAGAACAAAGAAAGATGCCTATGCATTGCCACGGATAGAAGAAATTCTTAATGCACTGGACCGGTCTCCACGTCCCACAGTGGGATTCGAACCCGCGACGTAATTTAAAGTATGAGAACATTAGTTAACACGATTTATTATTTAATGCAAATTTGGTTTTATCAATGGAGATTACGAACAGTGATCGGTTTCATAAAATCTTTACACAATACAGTTCTTCGAAGAGGGCATAAAACAAAATAATGCTATTTTACAAAGATTTAAAGAGATGAAAACATTTATCGACTACTCAGAAATAAAAGGAAAAACAACGAATCCATACATTACATGTGTATACAAATATTAATTGGGAGGAGGTTATGCTGTGTGTTTTTTTAATACCAAGATCTCAGTTGTAAGGTTTTTTACATCTGCAGGATGATATAAATAACAATTCTTGTACTAATTGAAATGAATTAAAATAATCAGAACTAGCTTTAAATAATTTGAGATATATAACGCGATTTGAGCATTTTTTATGGAGGCGCAATAAAAAAGTCAAAAAAATCTTAGAAAGACCATTTTGTAAATACTGGCTGACTTGGTAACTACCCAAGCTCTCGTCATGTGTTAATGGTGACAAAAGTTTTTGGGAAAACCCCACGTCTAGCTGGCTCCCCATCAATCTCACCTTCCTGTAAACAAAAATTTCAACAACAAAAAATCAATATAAAATGCAAGTGTTATATACGTTAATATGTTAAGTGAGAATATATATATTTCAGATCTTTTCTAGAGAGTACATCTGTGTGTCATTTGATATATTGTGTGTTATTTTCCCCCAAATATTTGATCATCTTTTTTCTGGAACAGATTATATACACACTGTGAATATTCATCAAGAATGTATTTATGCATTTAAAAATCATAAATTACTGTACTTTTGTAATATAATAAGGGGTGTTGTAGCACAAACGTGACGTGTTCCAACAGTCAAAAGAAGAAACTTTTACTCCTGCTTTTTCTTTTATGGTTAAGTGATTTAGCTGGAGGTTTTTAAATGCTCTTACTTTTTTACTAATCTTTTCTTAATAACCCCCCCCCCTCAATAAAAACATTGGAACATGGCGATTCGTTTGAACAGATTTAAATCCTAATCACCCAGGGATGCTTTAAATGAGTTTTGAAATTGGAGAAGAATATGAAAATATGAAATATTAACAGGCAATGTATGACAGATGGACACAAGACATTCTTTGATAAGAAAAGTTCATTATATTAGGTGAGGTAATATTCTACACGGGCTTATAAAAGTTGAATTCCTTCTTCTGAAATATACACAATTTGAAAACGTAGAAGGAAAATATTATAAATTAAGCAAATCTGTTTTCCTAACTAGAAAACTGACTAGTCAGCAAGAGCCTTACAGATGGATATACATTTAAGGCTACATTTTAAGGGAGGAATTTATGATCATTAGGTAATTGACAAATAAGTTGATGAAACAGGAATATCAGCTGTCTCGTTTATAGTCCTCATTTCGTAAGTTCTATGGTCGATACAATGACCTTGTCAGCAAATACAATTTATCATTGAGTCAAATGCTGACTGACGTTTCTCATACTAATTGTTAGCCCATTATTAACACACTGAATTGTCGACGGATTTTTCCGTTATTTCCCGATCATGACAAGGAGTACACGGCCGTTGTGACCGGTCGGCAGGGGATGCTCACTCCTCCATGGCACCTGATGTTTGGAGGTCAGTGTTTGCGCTGCTCCAATTTTGTATTGTTTAATGGACTTTTGAGCTTGAATACTGTTCGTTATCTCCATATATTTCATAAAGAAAAAACATAAAAGAAATTTCAAATATATGAGTGTAATTATGAAATTTAAAGACATTTCCAAACTGACAAAAGGTTATAAAGCTGCTATCTGAGGGTAATTGATAGCGTCCAAGTTAATTTACACAGGGTAGTAAAAACATATAGTCGCCCGCGTCGCGCAGTGGTTAGAGTGTCCGCTGTAGAGTCGCCAAAGAAGGAGCTGGGTTCGAATCCACGGGAATCTACGGGACGTGGAGACCAGTCCTTCGAATAAGACCGTATAAACTGATGTCCTATAATTCATCAGGTTTTGGCATGAAAAAAGCCCTCATTGCTCAATGGCACAGAGTACCGAGTTTAGGTTTAAATTTGCAGGTTCTTGAGAACAAGATTTTTTAAAAAGATTTTTCTTGTATGTTTCAATGTCAAATTTGGATTCCCTACTGTGGCCCCACGGGGGCCATGATTTGAACAATTTAGAATTTACACTACCCCAGAATGCTTCCATACAAGTTTCAGCTTTTCTAGCCCAGTCGTTCTTGAGATGAAGATTTTTAAAGATTTTTTTCTGTATATTGCAATGTAAAATCTGAATACCCTATTGTGTCCCCAAGCTACCCCCTTCGGCCATGATTTGAATAATTTAGATCTACACTACCCGAGGATGCTTCCTTATGTTTCAGCTTTTCTGGCCCAGTGGTTCTCGAAAAGATTTTTAAAGGTTTTTTCCAATATATTTCAATGTAAAACTTGGATTCCTTATTTTGGCCCCACCCTGCCACAGGGGACCATGGTTTGAACAATTTAGATTCTAAAGGTCACATTCGCCCTAAGCCCTATGAAATGATCAGACATACGGGTTTAATTAATAGTCAACTTTAGTATAAATGTAATGACCAAACAAATTATATGAAACATGTCAAACAAAATACGACCGCACGATAAGTTGTGTTTACAAACAAGGTCAACTGCTAGCAATTTCTAAAGTGTTCCTGGTTGTAAGTTCAATTTTTAAGGGATTATTAAGAAATAATGAAAATTCGGATGGGTTATTTATAAAGCTTTTTTAAGATCAACCAAGAAAAAATAATTGTATTGTGAAATTTTTTTACAATATAAAAATAAAAGTTTTTCTCATCTGAATACAAAAAAACAGTTCAGTGTATCAAGTACAAAACTTGTTTGTTTTTTTTTAACATACGCGGGTATGTTAAGGCTACACCCAGAGATATCCTACTTGCCTTTACAATGTGACGTCATAGTAAGCTGTATGACGTGATCTTTAGAAATAATGATTTCTTAATATCTATATTTAAAGTTTAATTTCAGATCCAAGAAATAAATGGAATCACTCAAAAACATAATATAAACTAAATCTTGTCGGTCTTGGGTGGTATAAATAGCTAAGTATTTATCACGGGGGTTAAATACCAAACCCATAACGTCATAACTATTGATCAAATATTTGCCGAGTGAAAATGAAATGTGATGAGAAATCATGAAAACAAATATATGAAATGGGAGTTTTAAAGCATATTCATTGAATGTTATGTGTGATTCATAAGGAATTAAAGATTAAGAATCAGATACGCTGATATACTCTTATCATGTTTTCTTATAATGAACAGACATAGTGCTTTGAAATCCCGATCAGCCTTTCCTCTGTCGCTCTATAACAACAAAGATGCAAAAGCTCAGCACTACGCCGCATACTGTGAAACATAATTTTTGTTTGTATCGAAAGCTTGTATTCTTAAGTACTTGGAAAGTGCTGCTAGAATCGTGTGGTTAGCATAAATTGATGCCAATTCCTTGATCGTATGTATAAAATGTAAAATTTTGGTAAGGTTTCATGCAAAACTTTGGAATAATTTTTTCTGTGTTTGGAGAGTAGGATTCTAGCAGCACTTTTCATGGTCCAGTGATGTTTTTACATAATTATTTTCACAAAAAGAAATGAATTATCCCCGGGGTAGTGTTGAACTTTTCACTTTTTCATTAAGGTAATTTTTCTATTTATAGACGTCACGTGATGACGTCGTAGTGGAGTGCTTCTTTTAGCCTCAGATTCAATGACGTCTATACAATGGATAATAATAGTAAATGTTTTATCTATGGTTTTCCGATTTATTAATGTTACATTTAACGAAAAAAGTCTAAATTCGCCGAAATATGATCTGTGTACTGCCTTAACGTACCCGCGTAACCGTTCGCTTGTACACTTTCTCACTCACATTCATTCCTAATAATATCTATGTAGTCTTTGAAAGCAGAACTCCTAGCAAGCACATTGTGCTCCCGTATTAGCAGACTTGTTTTTCATATTCCCATGAAGCAAAACATTTCAACTCATGAGAAGAAATCAAGAAGCTCATGGGCCACATTGCTCACCTGAGCACATTGGGTAGCCAAAAGCACAAATCAGTTCAGTACTGAAAAGATTACGGGGGGGGGGGGTGAATTTTAAACTTCCTGATGATGCTTTTATGTCAACATAACAAACGGCTTTGTTGTAATTGAGAAGATTTTTTTAATAAAATTGCTTATATATTCCTTTGTAAAAATTTGATCCCCCAGTGTAGCTCCTCATTATCTCAGGGGTCATCAATTGAAAAACTTGAATCCACCCTACCCCCAAAGTCATCATTTGAACAAAATTGAATCCACACTACCTGAGGATGCTTATATATCAAAATGACTAAACATGATATTCTGTTTTTGAGAAGAAATTTTCCTATATGTTCCTATGCAAAATTAGGACAAATGTACATTCAAGAACCTGCCGTCACGGTAGCTCAGTCAGTAGATCGCTCGCTCCGTGATCGGAAGGTCGTCGTGTGTTCAAATCACGGTCGCGACTGACCTAAGTCGATACAAAGATAGGTAGCAACTGTTCCTTCGCCAAGCCCTCGGCACTTTGAAGTGAAAGTTGCGGGTCCTTCGGATGAGACCATAAAAACCGAGGCCCCGTGTCACGACAGGCATTGGCACGATAAAGATCCCTCACTGCTCAATGGCACTCAGTGCTAAGTAAAGGTATAAATTTGAATCTTTTCAATTGTGACGACTCTATATGAGTGAACAATTCTCGAATGGGACATAAAGCAAAATCAATCAATCAATTATTCAAGAACCCCAGTAAATAATAATCTACTGTCAATATGTATAAATGTAAAGTCATACCAAAGCAAAAATTAGGCGTTACACATTACTTTCATATCTTTCTGTCTGCTGGTTCAGCTAACTTCGACATATGCTCAAGATTCATGGCATGGCTTGGCGATTCATGTAAAGTATTGAAAGCATTGGGAATCCTTGAAGGGAATATTTGTTGCCCTCACAAAATTAACTGGTTTTGGTAATTGATACACGTCTTCGCCATGTTATTCTACTCTGATTAAACTTAAGAAGACTTAAGAACTTAAGAGAAATGACCAATAAATCTAAATGCATTTGGAAGGAAATGCAATCTCTTGAAGGTCTGTTAAACAGTGGTTTCTTCCCGCATTAAACTGGCGATTTTACGACGCAATATTAATGATTGGCATGAAAGGGTGGCATTATTTCATCCGTATTACAAAATGAATCAAAAATGATATGTTGATGGGGCTTAATTTTTGAATCACTTTTAAAAAAAAAAACCAGGTTTTGGATAAAAGATGTTTCAAAAATTATCGACCTGTCTCGAACTTGCCTTTCATATCAAAAGTTTTGGAAAAGGTCGTCGCCATTCAAATTGATCGTCATCTAGAACAAAACCGTTTTAACGATGACCTTCAGTCCGCTTACAGGAAATACCATTCCACTGAGACAGCCCTACTTCGTGTTCATCACGACATTGCTGCTGCGCTGGACAACAACAGTTGTGCAGTTCTAGTTATGTTGGATCTTTCGGCAGCCTTCGACGTCATTGACCATTGCATCTTGTACAAACGGCTTGCACACACTTTTGGTATAACAGAGAACGCTCTTTTGTGGATCAAGTCATACATGAGTCAAAGAACGCAACGCATATCAGTTGGTTCCGAAATTTCCGATCCATTACCATTAAATATCGGTGTACCTCAAGGCTCAGTGTTGGGGCCTAAAATATACTGTATTTTTTCTCGTCCGCTTACCGAGATTTGCTTGCGTCATGGTATGAGGTACCACGTATACGCCGATGATACGCAAGTTTATCTAGTAGTAGAACCAACTGAGACCTGGCTGAATGTGTCTTCTCGGTTAGCATGCTGTCTGAATGAAATCAAGTCATGGATGCCTAGTAACATGCTGAAATTAAACGAGGATAAAACTGATCTTATTGTATTTGAGTCGAATCAAAACCATGACCGAATTCAGCTTATCGTTTGGAGAAAAAAATCATTCACAGTGTTCCGAATTTCAAAAATCTCGGTGCATTTTTCGATCGAATCCTATCTTTTGAAAAGCAATGTAATGCTGTTTCAAGGGCATGCTACTCGCAGATTCGCAAAATAGGACGCATTAGATATTTTCCTACGGATGGGGCATGTAAAACACTTGTCCACTCTCTGGTGACGTCACGATTGGACTATGGTAATGCGCTCTTATTCAACATAAATAGCACATATATATGCAAATTGCAGAGGGTTCAGAACACGGCTGCTAAACTTATTACTAGGACAGGCAAGCGTGAACATATTCAGCCCATACTTGTTGAGCTTCATTGGCTTCCTGTCAAATATAGAGTGCAATACAAACTATGTGTCTATGTTTTCAAAGCACTTCATGGTTTGGCACCGACTTATCTTTCTGAACTAGTTTGCGAATACAGACCCGCCAGGTCACTTCGCTCGGTTTCGTCAAACAAGATGGTTGTGCCTCGAGTCCGATCAAAAACATACGGTGATCGTAGATTCGATAGAGTTGCTTCAACACTTTGGAATCAGCTGCCAGTAGAACTTCGACAAGTTCACAAATTGGAAGTTTTTAAAAGGGAACTTAAGTCTCATCTTTTAAAAAAAGCCTTTACTTGAAGTGGAAAGTGTATATACGTATGGCTTGTTTTAATATCAACGTGACTGTATTTTCAGAATGTCTTACTATTTTATAGGTGACGTAAGATTGTTTTAGTCTTCCTTTTATTATGTAGATTGTTATATCTATGTAAAGCGCTTTAGAGTTCACATAAGATAAGGCGCTATATAAAATTAATTATTATTATTAATGGCATTTGCTATGAACGATGTCGATTTGTTTAGCAGCTTTATTCTTCACCTGTACACGGAAAGCGCAGGTGGAAAGAATATTGTGTGCGGAAAATCCACATATAATTATACATCCGAGTACGGTCAATTTTTAAAACAAACAGGCTACTGAAAGATACGTTGATGTTACAGGTATTTCAACATCTTTAAAGAAAGCATTTTGTAAAATCTATGGTCGTTTTAATAACCTTGTTAGCAACTATAACCTTTCATTGGGACGTGTTTCATACCTACTGTAAGGCATTTCATTTTACACTGAATTTGACTACCGAATATTCTGTCTACCTGATCAATACAAGGCGGGTGTGACCGACTGAAGGTTATGTATACTCCTCCTAGGCAACTGATCCCATTTTCGCAACTATAATTCCATACACTTTGAAATCATATATTTTCTACGAAATAATAAATTGCTTTTTAGAAATGACGATCAGAAACTCTGGATGTGCATTATGCATTTTTATTTTCAAAATATAATTAGAATTTCTATTTAAGGGTATTCAGTATGCACCAGTAAAATTCGCATAAATATTTACTCCAAAATTAGATCAGCACCTTTCTAATGTACTTATTAAAAACATTTTCTTAAACTGATTCTGATGTTGAAATGATAAATATATATTCTTAATCACCGAATTTCAAGTTATTTTTACACAATAAGATGGCATTTATATTTTTGAAATAATTTTACTAAAAAAAAATCTACTTAATATTAAATATAATTTAATCGACCTTTGTCGTAACGTGACTTTACGTAACATTATACATATTATGACATTCACCTTACAATTTTCTTGTAAAACAATGTCATACTGTAGAACCTCTTAAAGAAAAAGTAAAATAGTATTTTTAAAAAAACAGACATAAAAAGCTTATAGTCTGCACTATCTGTAATCAAAATGTCATTACTTTTTTTTTAGATGAGGCCATTTTTTACCCTTCGTTGTCTTAAAGAAATCATACACAATGCATACATTCACAATAACTGTTGAAAAATGTTTTTCTTTAAAATTTAATTTATAGCCTCAATTACTTGATCTATGAAATCTAACTCCAAATTTTTGTTTTAGATTCAAATAGAAGATTTAGCAATTCTATAATTGTTTTTTAAACAATTACATTACCTCTTCCCTGAATTTTTGAAACGGTAATTATACTAATGATGAAAAAGCTGAAGTTGTCTATTTTCTCAAACAATTTAGCTGTTAGTTGGCCTCTATCATTATCGTCTATAGTCAGTAAAACACCAAATATGAAAAACATATGACAGACACTGAAGTGTTTGTAATTTAGAATTCTCTGGGATATATCAAGGCAGCATTTGAATGGAAGTAACTATTGTTAATTGAGAAAAACGTCGTCGATATATGTCTGAATGTTAAGTTGTAGGAAACATAAAGTTTTTTCTTCTTCTCATTCTATCTGGAAAAGAGTACACGGCGGGTGTGACCGGTCGGCAGCGGATGCTCACTCCTGCATGGCACCTGATCCCACCTCTGATGTTTTGGAGGTCCATGTTTGCTCTTTTGTTTGATGGACTTTTGAGCCTGAATACTGTTTGTTATCTTCATATATTTCATTCATCCAATTTGCATTGTTTAAATGAACTTTTGATCTTTAAAACTGTTCGTTATCTCCATATATTTCACAACAGGTTTTTAAATAAATACTGCCATAGAAATAAAAAGCAGATTGGCTAATAAAGGAGCACTATTAGCGCCCATCGAAATTCCAACAGTTTGTTGGGAGACCTGGTCTCTGAAAACTTCATAAATGTTGTCAATGAGAAACTCTGGCATCTTTTTAATATCAACTTCACTCAAATTAGAAACCAATTAGAAATCAAATTCTTCATGTCAACATGTTGCATACTCTTACCTTTGAATTTTTCTCGAGGGATTTCTTCTTTTTCCATTTTTTCTTTGTCTGTTCTTTCCATTTCTTTTATGTTGGTATCCATTTTTGGATTTTCAAGTCCTTCCTCAATAGTTTCCAAAAGTTTTAAAATTCTTTTTAAGATTCGATCAAAACCTGATTGCTCCAAACAAAGGGGAGGATTAAAAAAGTATTCTCTGTGAATTTCCATAATACTGTCAATACAGGCTGCCATTGAAGTGTCCGATGGATCTGGTGTTTGACCCCATCCCCTTCCATGGGGTTCTATGATACAAATATTTTGGAATAAAATGTATATAAGAGGCAAATCTAAATGTTTGTAACTCCAGGAGAATGATCCTTTCTCGGGATAAAGCAAACTCTGTGGATCAACAGTTAAAAAAGGCAACAGCTGATCTATGGACTTTTGGATCCTTTTTATGAAATCTTCTAGGACATGTTTTCGAAGGATTTTACGAAACAGGTTTGTACAGGGACCAGATAAAACGTTTTGGTCTTGGGATTCATAGGAATTCTGTCCTTCAATGTCCATTTTTTGTAGTCCTAAACTATAGGCTGCAATAAAAACATCAGGAACTTTAAGAGGAGTTTTATACCCTCCTAAAAAACATGAACAAGACAATACGTGTATTTTTTAAGTATACTCTCTGTCATTGAACAAGGAACACACACAAAAAAAATCATAAAAATAAAACAAATATATTTTTTCAAATAAAATGCATTTACGTATAAGTGCATTTTTTGTAGATTTTTCGACAATTAAAACTGAATATAAATTTTGCCAAGTGAACGGCCAAGTGTCATTAATGCCCAAGTAACAAACTATACAGTGATTCCTTAACCAATTTCGCCAATTCTAATAATAGTTATCGTGTATTTCTTCTGATCATTTAAGGGAGCCGACTGGGGTTTTATTGTGTGAAAACTGCTATAGAGAACTATAAAGAAACTCTTTAATTTTGTACCAGATGTACCTTACATTAACTTCAGTATACATGTCAAGTTTAGTGAAAATCTACCGTCTGGATATTTTTTAGGGAACATCTCAAAATATAGGTACATTTACTATAGGATTATATAGGAAAATACTATTTGTTCGCACTTCGGAGCCAATTATACAAATGCTACTATAGACTTTTTGCTCAAATTATACTTGATGAGTAATACTATATTGTACAATTTATGAAAGAAACACAAAATTCTATCGTCTGGTTTCCAAAGGGGGCATCTCAAAATGTCAATATTCATGATATTTTCCTGGTTTTATGGATAGACAGATACCACAGACTTATATACATAATGATAGAAATAATTGTGAGATTCTCAATTTCCTTTGTTAACAATTTCAAGAGCATCTATTTTATATTCTTTATTTTATGACATAATTAATGACCCCTCTTAAAGAACTTCCGTTATTCATAACGTCAAAAACACACTATTACGACGTCTGTCTACTAACCATTTGAGAATCGTTTAAAAAATTACTTATTATAAAACGTAATTAGATTTTTTAACCTGAGAGATTTCTTAATTTTGTTAAATTTTGTAAATCATGTAAAAATAGTTGCTTTAAAATGTGAATACGCTTTATTTTACTATGCTTCGCGAAGTCTTGCGCAATGAAAACCCCAGTCGGCCCCCTTAAGAAGTCAATTTAAGTTTTGAGATTTGATGAGGACATAGAAGTACACTTTACGCCGGCATATTTAATTAAGGGCATTAGCCCTTATGATGAATATGCAGGCGTGAAGCATTTTAGGTCTACTATCTCATGAATTCTCAAAAATCCAATTATGTCAAAGTATAAGCATGGAATGATGAATGTTATCCACATAAGGCTGCTTCCATATAAACGCATGTTTGTACTATCATGATAGTATAGTTAAATTGGAATCTTAAGAGCATGTAATTGCATATTTCATATATTTTTACTTATGTAGCAACATACCCTTATCACCTGCATATGGGGTTTATGTCTCTAAGTTGATTCGCAAGAGCATGCTCTACGTATGAACAATTTCTAAAACGAGGCAAGCTATTGACAAACAAGTTGATGAAACAGGGATATCAACAGTCTCATTTGCAGTCATCTTTTCGCAAGTTATATGGTCGATACAATGACCTTGTCAGCACATACAACCTATCAATGAGTCAAATGCTGACTGACGTTTTTCATACTACTTGTTACTACCTGTATTATTATACAACGAACTGTCTACAATTTTTTTCGTTTTTTTCCCATTCATGACAAGGAGCACACGGCGGGTGTGACCGGTCGGCAGGGGATGTTCACTCCTCCATGGCACCTGATCCCACCTCTAGATTTTGAGGTCTGTGTTTGCTCTGCTCCAAATTTGTATCGTTTCCTTGGACTTTCGAGATTGAATACTGTTCGTTATCTTCATATTGCATTATTAAAAACTAGAAGAAAAGACTTTTTTGTTTGTTTGTTTGTTTGTTTTTTTGTGAAAAAAGAACTCAACGCTTACTTGTAATGTTTTGCAACTACTTAAAAATTCTCATTAAATCATTTCAAAGAAGTAATCCTTCAAAAATATTAACAGTTTATTAACTAGGTGCATTTGTAGAAACTGTCAACGTACCTTGTGGAATGTTTATAAGATTGTTCTCAATTTTAATCCAATCTACATTGTATTGTAACAATCCAGAAAGTTGATGCGGACCTGTTTGTCCAAGTCTTCGTGCAAAACATTCTTTCATTGATATTACAATGATGAAACTACTCTCAGGTTGCAATCCAACCAGTTTTATAGAGTCTTTGTCACATCTAGCTATAGCTGCCACTGTCGCTAACAATGACTCTATATCTGTGAATGTTTCTATGTCCTCTACTACGTGCAGCTTAACGTTCTTGCATCCATCTCCTGTCAAAAAGAAAGTACAACTTTAAAAAAAATCATTTGATGAAAAAAAATGTTTTTAACATAATCAAATTCATATTAACGTTCGATATTGACTTAAGTGTCTCACTCTGGCTGTTTTTCCTGGAATAAAATTATCAATCTTTGATCAAACATAAAAAAGGTAATTTTTTCATACTACCGGATTTGTTTAGAAGGTTAAAAAATAAAGTTTTGGAAATTTGAGTATTAACATAAGACATTTTTGAAAGAAAACTCGATTGTTGACTTCATCAAATTACAATCCTTATATAATATCACTTAAGTTTATTTATGGTCGGGTTTGGTATTGTGTTGGCTGGTGTATTTATCGGTTCATTCGTACATCGAGATAGATAGTATCACCCTATACGGAACGTCACATCACAGGTTCATCATCAAGCGTGCTGAGACTTTTACCATCCATCCCTTACAAACAGTGATTGACTATGACAAACAGTGATTGACTAAGACAAACAGTGATTGATTATGCCAAACAGTGATCGACTATGAACAAACAGTGATTGATTATGCCAAACAGTGATCGACTATGACAAACAGTGATGGACTATGACAAACAATGATTGACTATGACAAACAGTGATTGACTTTGACAAACAGTGATCGACTATGACAAACTGTGATTGACTATGCCAAACAGCGATCGACTATGCCCAACAGTGATCGACTATGACAAACAATGATTGACTATGATATGTTTGCGAGTGTACATTCAACATATTGCAGGTATATATTTCAGAGTTGTCCTTTTTTCTCTGCATATTTGCTTACATTGTTTGCTTTTCCAAGGGGGAAGCCTCACTTCCAAGGGGGAAGCCTCACTTTAGAGCATACCCCCGCCACCCCCAAAAGATTTGCTCTAAAGTAATACTACCCCTTTTGGGAAAACTACTCTAGGGCCATGTTTCCTAAATAAACTAGTCAATTGGACATTGCTCTCAGGATTCACTCGCATTTATAGAAATGTAATTTACGGCCAGTATATTGATGCCTCGGCTCCCTCAATGTAGCGGTTACAGCGCATTCAGACAAATAAAATATTACATTTATTTTTTTTCTATTCCGTTTTGGAATAAAATAATTCAATTACTTATCTCTGTTTAAGATGATTTTAACATTGATAATATATTTTTTAAAAGGTTTAATTAAAAAAATTAAAAAAAAAATAAATAAACCAAAAAATTTTAAAGACAATAAAAGTTTCAAATCAATTAACAACACTGTTGTCAAGTCAGTGAAATTTGTTTCAACCAGGTACTCCTTACTTTTTAGTAATAGGAAGAAAGATTTTTCCTCACAAACGAATCGATAGACTTAAGAAAAGGTGATAAAATAGATATAAATATTTGATTTTTAAATTGGTCCAAGAGTTCGTCCAAGTTTCAAAAGTAACATTTTATATAAATTGTCATTATTGTTAACTCGGATGAAACAAACTAATCTACATCTTGTCCATTTAAGAAAAAAAACGTTGATAAGTGTTAAGAAAAAAACGATGATAAGTGTTAAGGTTTTTAAATCTCTTGCGGTAAAACGATAACAATCAATTTCCTTGATTGCTCTTTTTACCACAACATAAATCCATAGTTAAACATTAATCTTTATCTGGGATTTTGGTTTCCTCAAAGTAGCACAATGCTTGTTTGTCCTTTGTTGCGTATTCCACGCATTTAAGCTCAAGATCAGGGCGTTTTATGCTTCTCATCAAGTATTGCATCATAATTACATTTTTTTCTCGGAATATTCCCTCTTTAAGTAGAAATGTGAAGAAGTCTTCAATTGTAGGTAAATTTTCTAAAGACAATAATTCCATTGATGTCAGCACTAAAATAAAATTAAAAAATAATGATAATAAAATTTATCAACACAGACAGTTAAAAAGGGTCAAATTGTAAAATAGATTAATGTAAGGTACAATGATACAATGATTTATTACATGTTTACCTCCTTATCCCGTGGATATTACTCATTGGATATTTTTATATCCCACTGCTGTGACGTCACAATGGGTTTTGCGTGAAAATTATGAAGTAAATATTATGGATTTGTCATATAAAACAATGTTAAACATTGATAGTGATATATAAAACATGATAAAAAGAAAATCCCATGATTTTTGGGTTGATATGATTTTTATCAAACTCGTTGGGTTTTTTCCCTCACCAAGGCTCGGGGATAAAAAAAAAAACTCACACAACTCGTGTTAAAAATCATACCCAACCACAAATCATTGAAGATCCTATATTTATCACATGTTTACTCATTTATCTCGATAGGGTTATAGGGAGAAAACTAGTTTGATTTTTTTTTCATATCCCACGTCTGTGACGTCACAATGGATTTTTGCTTGAAAATAATGAAGTAAATTGTGAAATGCTTTTACGTAGAAGATATCTTTAAAAACTTAGCCATTATTAGTAATATTTATACAGAAGCATCCTTAGGTATTGTAGAATCAAGTTTGTTCAAATTATGGGGGCACAACAGAGGGTCAGCTAAGATTTGCATTAAAAAATATAGGAATCATCTTGAAAAAAATTTCTGCTCAAGAACAGCAAAGCCATGATTAGTCATATTATTATAGAAGTATGATCAAGTAGTGTAGATTCAAATTTGTTCAAATTAAGGGTGGGTAGGATGGGGCCACAATGAGAGATCAGAGTTTTACATAGGAAAACAGGATTAATTGATTGTACGTTGTTTTACTTCCCGTTCGAGAATTTTTCACACATAAAGAGACTTCACATATACCGGTAAAGGGCTTCAAATTTAGACCTTCACTTGGCACTTAGGGCCATTGAGCAGTGAGGAATCTTTATCATGCCTACGCCTGCCATGACATGGGGCCTCGGTTATTAAGGTCTCATCCGAAGGACCCGCAACTTTCACTTCAAAGTGTTGAGGACTTGGCGAAGGAATAGTTGCTACCTATTTTTTGTTTAGCTTAGGTCAGTCGCGGCTGGGACTCGAACCTAGGACCTTCCGATCACGGAGCGAAGGCTCTACAGAATGAGCTACCATGACGGTGGAAAATATAGGAAAAAATCTTTAAAATTCTTCTGTTAAAGAACAGCAAAGCCATGATTAGTAATATAGATATGGAAGCATCCTGAGGTAGTGTAAATTAAAGTTTGTTCCCCCCTCCCCGTTCAATACTTAAGTGATTTTTGCTTCGTCGTAGCCAATGAGCTGAGGTGAGAGATGAGGCCCATGGGCCTCTTGTTTCATATGTGACAAATCACATTAGAAGCATCTAATGGCTATATACTAATTAAATTGATTCAAAGGTCAACAAAAAACTGCATAAACATTTATTTCATATGCAAAATAACCCTTCCCTACACATGTTTTTACATTGTTCTACAAGTAAATTATTAATTGAAGAATGTTACATGATTGTCATCTTTATCAAAATGGTAAGGCGACGATTATTTGATTCTGGAGGGGGTGGGTGGGTGGTAGATATTGGAAATAAATAATTCGTCCTCGAAAATGGTGAAAAAAAATTATCTGACCTCGACAAGGGTTACTACCCCATCCCCCTCCTTTAAAATTGAGTTTTCGAGCTTAGGCGTTCCAACCTTTTTTTGTCAAACTTTCTTTCAGTGAAGAAAATAAATAATCAGTCCTTGATCATCTTGAAAAAAAGTAATCTGTCCTTGACTGGCATGAAAATAAATAACGTTAATCTTACTCGAACTATATGCCAGCCTTCCTTCCACCCAGAATCAAATGGCCGTCCCCTAACCCAAGTATGAAAGCAAATAAGAAACTATAATAGTATTTCTTTTTGAATAACAGATAGCTTAGTACATGTTATCAAATTTTCATACATGGAGGAATACTTCTTCTGCTTAAGATAAAACTTATGTCAAATATTACCTGTTAAGGATAATTTCAGTGACTTTAAATCTTTCTCAGATATTTCTCTGATGAGATCCAGCTTCAGGTTGTTAAATCTGATTGAAGATCCTTTCTTACTAAAGATGGTTGTAAGTGTACTGGTAACTATAAAACAATAATTAGAAAAAAGAGGAGAACACATTACTAGAATACTTGTGCATTCTTCATTTTGACTTGCTGGTATTAATTGAATATCATATTTACAAAGATATATAAATCCGTGAGAAATAAAAGCGCATGTCATGCTTGAATTTAGTTCAGTAATAGCTTTGAATTTCATATTTTTCGAGGTTGAAAAATTGAGTCAGATTTTTATTAAAAACGAATTTACCTTCATTCTTACTTTTAATTAAACTTCTTTAATCTCTATACATATATACTTATATACTTTTAATGAAATATTTCTATTGCAGAGGAGAAATATGATTTTACACTATATGCCCTACCTTTGTTATCTGGCATTTCTTGCTTTGTACATGAGCATCTCTCGTCTAAAAATTTCAAATAGTCACATTTTGCCATAAAATTAACATAATAGCCAAGAAAAAAATATTTATCATTCTCTTTGTTACTCTCTTAATTTTACTTAAAGATAAACATGCTCTTAATTTAGTTTTCTTCTTGTATCAATTGTGGTAACACATCTTGTATCAATTGTGGTAACACATCTTGTATCAATTATGGTGACACACAATTAATTTTTACAATACCAATAATGCATTAGGAAGAAAATACATTTTTCTTATTATAAATCAATGGGAAAGTATTTAAGCTATATAAGAAAATAATTACTGAACTTAAATTGGTGAATATTGGAAGTCGTTGACTTTACAAAAGCGCTCACAAGTTCGTCCTTTGTTTATCCAACTGGAGCCAATGTTCACCAAGATAAGTTCAATAACCATATAGTATCAATTTGTTTTAAGAGGTCAAGATGGTCATGGTATACTGACTATTTAATCTTCCTCGAAAAGAAGAGTTCAGTATGAAAATGTAGTAAATTGCATAAGATATCACATAGATAATATTCAATAATAGTAGGAATACATTTTTCTTAAATAGAAATGGTTTATGACTATAAAAAGTATATATATTTGATTTGTTGATGATTTTTAAACACACCTGGAATCTCCTTTGCAGTGGTTCCAATAAAGTTTTGAACCTCTATTAGGAAGAGATGATTTTGTAATGTTACTTTCTGTTTAACACACAGCAAAGGTTCAGGAAGATTGTTTGATGATCCTCTGTACTCTTCACTGGTGATGTCTAATGGTATACATAACTATTGCTGGTATCGCTCTTTATGCTCCACTGAGCTTGAATTGGTTCTGGAACTGATTTTATCAAGGCTGTGAAAATGTATTTGTCACTCCCTCGTATTTTTGGTCCTTGTATTTCAATTTCAGGAACTCCTGGCGTGAATAGAATTTAAAAGGATTATATAATCATCTTAAATTATGTAAAATCAATCAAATTAAATCAAAAGGTTAACAAATGGGCGCTTATGAGAAAACCATACGACACAAAAATTTTGTTGTGGATTGTGTTTTCCAATAAAAAACTAAAACCTGAGCAATATTCTATTACTAGTTTTCTTGGGATACTGTAAAACGATACAATATGGCGCACTTCTAATTTTAGAACATTGGGCGCAAGCGCCCCTGAACGCTAAAATTTATTGTGCGCCTAAGGATTTCTAAATCTTAATTTTTTTGCTGTTCAACAGCGATCACTGAAGTACACGTTAATCGTCGGAACGTGCGATTACGTAATGGAATAGGGTCGCTGTATTTCTGTATACACACTCGCATTGAAAAACTGTAGGATCAATCGAGAAAGTTCAGCTAAATTATGAATTAATTAAACTATTGTTAGTTGTAACCCGGTACCTATCAGCAGCACATTCAAAGTTGGGCTTCTTCTATCGCCTCGAGGTGAACAATGCAATCAAGCGTGGGGATCGACCATGCAGAAAATATATGATTATGTTTACCAGTTATCCAAGTAACTTTTCTTCGATGCATGCATGGTTTTACTATGAATAAAATTCGTGAACACCCTACAATCATTTACTGAAATATATTACCTTTTATTTATTTAAAAAAGTTTAAAATCTACAATGTGCCACGTCCATATGCGTGCAACACCATGGAAGTGAACAAATGTTTACTTGTGTACGCGATTGTGCTATTGTGTTTGCGTGCTTGAATGATCACAAAAACAAATACGGGCGTGGATCAAAGGAAAAAAATATAACATTTATATATTTTAATGACAAGCACAAGCGCTAAAATTTATTTGCGGCCACATATGATCCACATATGCATTGCCTATCATATGAGGATCATATGAGAATCATGTATATTCAATCATATGAGTATCATATGTGGCAAATCATATGTGGATCATATGTTTACACATGTGAATCATATGGAGCAATATACTTATGATACACAAAGGAAAGGTCCTGCATATGAGAGTCATATGGATGCTTTGAGGATGATCATGTAATAACTAAATGTTGAACGAAGTTGGTGTCCCACTCACGATCGCATCCGACTCACGTTCAGTTTACCATATGAGAATCATATAAAACAGATCTGTGTTTATTTATTTGTACTTGCTATACACAGGTAATATTCATTTTTATTCAACGAGATAAAAAAAATACATTTATTCAATGTTAATCAGTTAACACTTGAATAATTTCGTATTCAGCTTAATATGAATAAGTTGATGTTAGTTTTTAACAAGTAGATTACATGACTAAAAATAATTTCAATAACATATATCAAGATGTGTAAATTTAAATGTGTATTTATTCAAAAGAATCAAGATGTTTATTTCCTTAAGGAATCATCTTCAATGTGAAAAATCAATATATCAGGTTATATACCGTATTAATCTGCTTTTGCAATAGGTCTTATCGATAGTAGACAGAAGTATCGAAAGGGAATAAAGTTTGAAATATATGGATCAACTTTTATAACCATGAAAAGGTTCGTCAAATTTCAGAAAAATTGTGTTCTGAAATTAAACCAAACCTGTAGTAAAAGTTAGCATGTGGAAACAATTAAAATTGCATTTCGGTAATCGTTACAACACTGTATATAACATTTCGCTCCACGAAAAGAAGAATCATACCAAAAATAATTTTCTTCCCAACCGTTGATCCCACCGCGTTAGAGGCTTTACACTGATACGCTCCAGCGTCCGACTGGTTGACGTTTGTAATGGTTAATGATGGTTCATCAATTGTTCCTCCTGTATACTTCCCTCTACTTCCAGGTATGTCGATGACATTTTCATCTTTCTTCCACACAATTTCACTAATAAGAGGGGATTGTTTATAAAGAAAAATTTGGCATGTCATTATAACAGAACGGCTTTGGATGTTGATTTCATGGCCGTTAGAAATGTTTGGGGGATCTAGAAATGTAAAGAGTACAAATCCTCACAAAAATACATTAGTTAAGTATAGTTTTCTATACTATAATATCAAAGTTTTTACTATACTAAATCAAAGTATTTTTACAATGAATTCAGTTTGCTTATATTTCATATTCTCTTGCTCATACATGCAAATTTATATATATATATATATATATATATATATATATATATATATATATATATATATATATATATATATATATATATATATATATATATATATAATGGACCTATTAATTATATAATCACATATTATTTCCAAAATTAAAAATCACTGTTATCAAATTTAAGAGATTTTTAGCTTTGAAATCTCAAATAAAAGTTCTAGAGTAAAGTTTTACTATGTGTAAATCAAATTATCAAAGTATTTTACTAAACCATGATAAACTTAAGTTAACTATAGTTAAATATAGTACAATTTTGTTAAGGAATATACCTGAAATGATTTAATATCAGTTTTTTAGTTGACAAACTGTGAAAGATTTTTCTACGTACCTCCTGTTACATTAAGTAAAACTGTGTTACTGACACATTCTCCTATCCCATTCCATATATGAAGTCGGTAATACAGTTTGTCATCAAACGTTACTGATTTCAACCTAAATACAGGATGACTCGGATCTAATATACTATTTGAATATTTTCGATCTCCAACGTTGATAGTTTCAAAGATAACAGCGTCATAGCTCTTTTCCCACACTGCTCTTTCCGCCGGTGGACAAGATGATATAACAGAGATTATGTCAGTGTTTTCCCCGTAACAAACCGACTCTGCTAAAACACTGACCTTTGGTACACCTACAAGTGCAATTCTGCAAGCTTTAACAATGAAATCTTTAATCAGCATCATTATTTTCGTAATTGACCATCACTGAGGTACTATTATAAATCAAAGCTAACCTAAAGTTAGTAGCTCTGCCACAGCACCAACTGCATTGGCTATGATACAGTTGTACTCTCCACTGTCCTCAATCGAGGGGGAAGTTATAGTGAGAGAAGTATCTGATAGGCCTCCACCAAGGTATTTTTCCTGATCTTTATTTATTACCTCGCCGTTTTTGGTCCAAGCAATATGATGTACTTTTGGAGAGTCTTGTGATACTTTGTACTTGTAATGAAGAGTTATACCGTCCTTTCCCGAGGTAACTTCTAATCTCTGAAGAACTGGTCGCTCTGCAACGGTTTAGTTATTTAAAGATATTCAGCAGAGAATCTTCATCTATAGTTTTGTTATTGCATATTTAACAGAGTTTAAAGAAACCTTAGTGGGAAGTTAACTTTGACTAATAATGTGTCAAAAAATCTTTACAATAGCAATAGCTTCGCACAAGGTTTATATGAAAAACTAAAGAAGATTGGATTGATTGCTTATGGTTATTATTCCTTTTGCAAAGAAAAAAATGCATTAGAAAAATTAAAGTTACTGTATGACTATGAAATGAAAGGAAGTATTCAACTAGAGTGTCGACATATTTATTATTTTCAACTGTCTTTTATTAACAATGATTCTGATTGAATTACGTAAAAAAAATCTACCTCCGGTGACCTTCAAGGTCACAACGTTGCTTGGTATTTTTATGTGCTGCCCATTGGAAGTCCCTGATATTATAGCCTGGTAGTCACCCTGATCATCCTTTGATACCCTCTGTATGACGAGCTGTCTATTGGTGCTGTCTGTATATTTCTCTGTACTGGTATCAATCTGTTCTAAATTGTTACCTCTAACTCTGTGCCACGTGATGGGTCAGTTTTGTGTTGACATTGATGTTTGTTCTATGTCAGCTTCAAAGAATGCTGTTTCTCCACACATTATTGTCGCATTCCGTCGTAAAGTAATTGATGGAAATTCTTGTGTAAGAAAATTAATATCATGTCATTACTGACTTCAGTGTAGGTCGATATAACTATAGGGACCCATGTTAAGCGATATTGATAGAAGTCATAGAAAGTGAAATCAAGAGAACGTGCGAGGGCGATAGCACTGATTATGAAGTTAATATCGCCTGAAATGGGTTCTTATATTGTCAAAAATAGTTATGTTATGTAATCCCCTAAAACTGATAACACAGAATATTGTAAGTGGAATGAGGGCTTATTAAGATACGGTTTAAGCCATGTGTACAGAGCAACGGTAAGTTATGTAATAATAAAAACGTTAGAACTGGCAGACAGACTTACCTTCCTTTTCTTTCAAAATCCTAAGTGTTGCTTCTAGCATTAGTTTGTATTTTTCCATATCTTCAAAACCAAAGTTACATTTCCTGATATCTGCCAGTTCTTTCTCATAATTAACTGCATTGAACCCTTGTTTACTTAAATATGAATCCATCCGATTCATCACATCTTCTATCTCCGTCCAACGTGATTCAAACATTGCATCAGGAATACTAGAAGATTCCAAATGTCCAAGCATATCGTTTCGGAACTGCCTGAGACGCTCGATATCATCACCAATCTTAACATCAGTGGCTTTTGGTTGTTTTCCCCAACCTTGTGTTGGTACTAAATGCGGACACAGATTTTGTATGAGTTTATATAACAATGAAACATCGAATTTGCAATAGTCAGGAATATCCGTAGGCGAAAGAAAGCAGATTTTCCGCTGTTCCACATTCAGTTTGTATTTTCCGGTTAACAAAACAGTGCAAGAGCTGATGGCATTGTACAAGTCAATAGGCTTGATATAAAGTTTAAGAATATCTTTCATTGGTAATTTTATTTTGTCTACTACGGCTATTCCTAGATGGACGAAGTTCTGTTGGTCAGTTGGTAAGAGTTTTGATGTCATTGTTATTTATGAGTTTGTAAACATTTCAAGACAAAATTTAGTTGATTTTAACCAAAACTTCATTCATGCACTTTTTTAACTGAAAAAAAGAAGGTGAGCGATTAATAAGTGATCATTTTTTCTGAACAAAAAGTGTGATTTTTTTCAACCCCCTGCATAATTATTAAATCTTACAAGTTACATATGTTTTATTTTGTCAGTATGCTTAAGGCGTCGAAAACGTTGGGAGATAAATGAGATAAATTGGTGTAAATCAGATGTGGATACTTAAAAATTCCAAGGAACTTTTGGAAAATTTGAAATCACAAGATTTTACCAAAATCAACAGCTTAAAAACTTACGACTTTTCAACTTTATACACAACCATTCCCCACGATAAATTAAAGTCCAGGCTTTTTGATATCATTGACAGCTGCTTTTTCAATAAAAATGGAACTCGTAAATATACTTACCTTGTCATTGGTCATTTGCAAAATTATTTTGTTAAAAAACATTCTGATTGTACACACAAGTACTCTGAAGTTGACATTAAAAAGATGCTTGAGTTTTTGATTGACAATATCTATGTGGTTTTTGGAGACCAGGTCTTCCAACAATCTATTGGGGTACCAATTGCGCCCCGTTATTAGCAGACCTTTTTTTGTATTCATTTGAAACAGAATTTGTCCAAAATCTTGTACGTGAAAAGAAGAAAACACTTGCTGTGGCGTTCAACTCGACATTTAGATATATCGACGATGTATTGTCAATTAACAATGGCTATTTTCATTCTTATGTCGATACGATATATCCTGGTGAACTTGAGATAAAAGATACCACAGAGTCTGACACATCTGTTTCATATTTGGATATTTTACTTGAAAAAGACGTTAATGGTAATCTAACAACCAAGCTTTATGATAAACGTGATAACTTTAACTTTTCAATCGTCAACTTCCCTTACTTATGCAGCAATATACCTTCATCACCTGCATACGGGGTATATATCTCTCAGTTGATTCGATACGCAAGAGCATGCTCTACGTATGTACAATTTCTAAAACGAGGTAAATTATTGACAAATAAGTTGATGAAACAAGAATATCAGCTGTCTCATTTAAAGTCATCATTTCGTAAGTTCTATGTTCGATACAATGACCTTGTCAGCAAATACAATTTATCATTGACTCAAATGCTGACTGACGTTTTTCATACTAATTGTTAGACCATTATTTACACACTGAATTGTCGACGGATTTTTCCGTTATTTCCCGATCATGACAAGGAGCACACGGCGGGTGTGACCGGTCGGCAGGGGATGCACACTCCTCCATGGCACCTGATCCCACCTCTGATGTTTGGAGGTCCGTGTTTGCTCTGCTCCTTTTTTGAATTGTATAATGGAGTTTTGAGCCTGAATACTGTTCGTTATCTCCATATATTTCATGTATCAGATGGAGATATTTAATTACAGAATTATAAAACATATTTCTCCTGTTTGATTTCATATAAATGGTTTCCGTTTCAACTCCTTCCACGGCGATATCCCTGTCAGCAATAGATCGAACTATTTGACTTTACAGTAAATAAATTCTTGCATTACATAGTTTTTCAAATATGGTTGCCTGTTTGCCTTATGTCTCTTCAAGAATTTTTCACTCATTTTGGGACGCGATTAAGAGCCAGTGGTGGGCTGAAAATTTAGACTAATGTCCTATCACAGCACAGGAAGTTGGTTGTTACGGTTTTATCAGAAGGACTAGCCTCCAAGTCCGACGGTGGGATTTGAACATGAGACATAAATTTCTACTCATTACTCAGTGATTATGAAAAACATTCCAGCCAAAAAAAATTTTTGAAACCAAAATTTTGTTCCTACCCAAATACTATGAGGTTTTGTGAAGTCATGTGCCGAAATGATGTTTATTCTTTGAAGAAATTATGTACATTTATTACACATATTAATAGTATGGTCTGTTCACCTTAGCTAGATTAATTAATCTCACCTTTTTTGATCCACTGTATTATATAGGCCATTATTGATTAAATAAACATTTCCACATCTGGATTCTAGCCTTTACTCAAGTTCCCTATCAAAAGAAGAAATTCTTCAATTCACCCTAAAGTGTTAAAGAGACACCGTGACGTAAGAGCGGGAAAAATTGACAAAATCAGAATTTTTGCATGACACATGCAAATTTTGTCCAGTTCTTGAAGATTTTAGGTTTCAGAAAATTACAGGTTTAGAGCCTAAAAAATCTAATTTTATGGAGAAAAATGAAATTTAAAAAAATCTGTATATAACCCAACGCAAAAATATTGCTTCACTTCTTCCTCTTTATTGTACGCATGCGCTGAAAAGTTGAAGAATTTACCATGGTGTCATTTCTATAGATATAAATGTCGGATGACCGAGAATTTTGATACAAACTTCAAAAAAGATGATAAGTACTTATTCCTCACTTTTGCTTGCTCCAATTCATTGTTGTTTACAAAATAAAGGACGCGTGTCCTTGACATTGACGATGAAAACTTAAGCGATAGATACAACATTTGTTTTTCCGACACTTACATTTTGTAATTCTTTTCTTGTTTTACAGTGCAGCAGCTGAGTTTTCAAAACTTTGCTATATTCACATTTCACATAAATCTTTTGTTTTGTGATACAATTATCTTAAAAGAAACACATAATTATGACTCATTTTGTAACTTTAAATATACTTTTAATATTCCAGTCTATTGAAGTGGGTTTCATTTCTACTTAATTACTTTGTTAAAAATTATTCTGAATCTATATACAAATTCTCTGAATTAAGTTGATATTAAGAAAAATGATGGAGATGCTCATTGACAATACAATACATTTTACTTATTTACACCTGATTACGTTTTCTTAATTTCAACTTTCTACACAATTATTTCCCACGATAAATTAAAGTCCGGCTTTTTGTCTGTAAATAATGGAACGCTATTAGTAACAATGGGAAGAGGTGATTTCTAAAATATACATGTTGTCTATCAGAAACTCAAGCATCTTTATAATATTTAGTGTTTAAAAGTTCTTTAAAGACTTTTTTACTCATTGAAATATATTTAATAAATCCAGTAAGGTTTCAAGGTGACATAAATTCCATATCCAACACAGGCAGGGATCAAGGATTTTATCCTAAGGGGATTTGTTTGTAGAAAAAAAATACTAAAAACTTTTCTGATACCTTCAGATACATTTCCTTACCTTAAGGAGTCCGTGTTACCTTGTTGGGGTGGGGGTCAACATTATTTTTCCTAGCTTTAACATAGAAATCTAAGAAATCTCAAATATTTTATATATTTAAAACATATTTAAAATATTCCAATACCTGGGGCCTGAAACCGGAATCGAGAACTTCAATTTCTTTTTTACCATCTCATTTCTAAACGAACCACTCCATCCCTAAAAATATCAGAAAAGGGTTTTCACTGGTCACAGCATCAATGTGGTAAAAGATGCGACGAACTAGCGCTACTGTTTTCTTAATTTGAAAATGATCCTAATGTGGTTTTTCGATGATCAGTTTTCTCGATTAAATACTTACTTTTAACTTTTATTTTAGAGCACATAAACATGTCGGTTATGGGACATGTCAACATGCAAAACGAAAGTAGAGAAAATCGAAATTTTACGTAAATAATTTTCTTACTTATTGACAATTAATTTCCATATCTTTTCCATGTTTTTATAATCCCTTGACCTTAAATTTCTACAAATTAATCATAAATATCATGAACCGTTACACAGATATCAAGAGGTGCTTCGGGTTTCCTTCTATTCCAAAAATAGCTATATGTTACAATATATTGTACTATTATAGGTAAGGTTTGTAACTTTCTATTTACTGATAATTGTTTAATGATATTATTTCACAGTAGTAAATTGCTGTGTAAATACATTGCTTAATGTTTGTTTGTTAATTTGTATCACCTCCCAACTTCTAGTTATTCACAGTGGAGTCTGTCTGGTAGGGGGAGCTTGGTAGCCAGCATCTAATCAGCAATATATAACTGTCATTGAGGGGATGACCAGTATAAATAGGGTTCAATTGGTTAATTGCCCTGTAGACTTGTTGATTATTTTGAAGATGTCGGAGGCACAATTAAGACGGGCTAGAGAGCATTTGGTAATTAAACATTTATTATAGTTTGGTTAAGATTTACCAAGTGGCACCTGATATTTCACCGAAATCCTTGGTAAAATTATTGCACACCAAGGGCTTTTGGAGAAATTATTTGTGATAGCCTAAATTATTAAACGGCTATTACTTCTCTTATCTCTGGGAATTAACACCAGCACCAATTTTACACAGAAATATTTATCAAGGTGTTGTATATTGGTGACTTGGTTAATTTTGGTAAAGACCGAGCCGCACCGAAATATTTACCAAGGTGTAGCTCTGGTGATTGATTAATTAGGGAATTGAATTAACAATAAAATATTCATGGGTAATTACATATAACTTTGGAAATTATTAGGTAAGTTAGATGAATAAAAGAAGTTGGGATGAATTAATTTCATTATTTTCATAAGTTTCTTCATTTTCTTTAAACTGTAAATAAATGGTAGAATAGAATTGGTTTTATTTCTTAAAGAAAAGTAAAGGTCTATCTATTAATACAAGGATTACTTTATCAAATTGTTACATTGGGATTTACTAGTTCAGTGGATTTTTGTTGGTGGTACAGTGTGTGATTCAGTATGGAGTACTAAATAATTTTCACAATAAAAACCACGTTCCCTATAAAAATTGTGTTGACGAGTTCGCCTCGCGTCACACATAGAATCAAAGTATTGGAAGTACTGCAAGTCGGTGTCATCGTTTTCTTGACCCATTTATACTTAGATTAATCTGCAACATGTGAATTGGTCGAAAGAGTCACCGAATCTTGAGTAAAAATTACAATTATTTTAAAAAAAAAAAAAGGAAAATCTACATTTGTTAATGAAAAAAAATCAATTATTTATAAGAAGTTTGGCAAAAAAGTAAGA